ATTGTACTACAGTGCATGAGAAAAGTTTGGGCTTTTTAGAAACGCCTTTGACTCAAATCTTTGAATAACAACTTGTCCTGGTTTAAGGCAAATTTGAGAGGAAACTTCCAAAGGGGTCCTGTGGTAGATTGTTTTTCTGTTGTAATCCTAAAGTGTTCCTTATTGTGAGTTTATAGTGGTTTGTTCCATGTACCCTGTTTAGTTTCCCCAGTGGTTTTGCCCTGAAGTTGTTTACTATTTTCCTGCCTAATCTTATGTCAGTCCCCATGTCAATCTCCCTTGCACCTCCCTGATTTCCAGACCCTTCCCTGCCAGTCCTGGAAGTACTGCCCTCTTCCCTTGTTCATCAAATGTAACTCCATCCCTTTCTCTAGAACCTTCCTTGGCTATCATCCTTTCCTCAAAGTTCCATTGGTGTGCCAAGCCTGATCCCCTCCCATGTTATCCCCTATTGGTTACCTAGAATCTGATCCCCACCCTACGTTCCTCCTCTGCTGTTCTACTATTGGTTAAGATTTGTATCCTCCCCTAGTACCCTCCCCTGTTCCTAAGTTGCTGTTACCCTGTTGGAGCTTGTCACTTGTCCCTGGACCCTCTTGGAGATTAAACCCTCTTGAGAGCTTATACAAGTGGCCCCTCTCGTCTCCTTTGTTCTGGCTTCCTCGACTCGGGATTCCTATCAGCAGACGCACAGAACAGCTTTGCTGCGTCTGGGAATTAGGCAGCCCTGCTCTACTGCCACCCAGACTGTCCCGAGGGGAGGATAGGGGGCAGCCACTCTTGGCACGGGCCAGGAGGCAAGGGCTAGCTGGAGGACATCACCAAGCGACTGCCCGTGCCAGAGTCCCTCTAGAAAGCTGATTCAAGGGGCCCCTCCCCCAACTGGTAGGACACAACTACACTAAATTCTACTGACATTAGTGATGGAAAATACTGATGTCTGTGATACATTAGTATCAGAAAAAGTGCCATATATTATGAAATACCATTATAATAAACCTGCTAGATAAGGCTGATGGCAGCAAGCTGTGACCATGTATTTTTCTCCACACTAATCTTCAATTCCATGTGAATCTGATTTTCTGTGGAATGAAGGGCCACACTGGCTCAAAATCTTGCAGAATTCATCCATCTACTTCTCTTTACGTGATTGCGCACCATTGACAGCTCATTATCAAAACATTGAAGTTATTCAAGTCTAGATAACAGCCATGTTCACAATGATAATGCATGACAAAAAGAACTGAGCTTTAGATGTTATGTCTGCCTGTAAAACTATCAACCACTAACATTTTCCTTGTCAAAATCACAGAATCAAAGAATGGCTGAGGTTGAAAGAGACATCTGGAGGGTACAATCGTGTTCAAGTAGGGCCACCAAGAACCAGTTGCCCAGGACCATGTCCAGACCACTATTTGAACATCTTTGAGGGACTCCAGAAGGTTACTGGGCAAACTGTGTCAGTGCCGTCACCCTTACAGTTTAAAAAACATTTTCTGATGTCCAGAGGGAACCTCCTGTGTTTTGGTTTGTGCCCATTGCCTCTGGTCTTCTCACTGGGCACCACTGATAAGAGCCTGGCTCTATCCTCTTTGCACTCTTCCTTTAGGTATTTATATACATTAACAAGATACCCATTGAGCCTTCTTATCTCTAGACTAAACAGTCCAAGCTCTCTCTCTCAGGCTTTCTTCATAAGTAAGAGGCTCCAGCCCCTTCATCATCTTTGTGGCCTTTCATTGGACTATTTCCAATATGTCTATGTCTCTCTTGCACTGGGGAGCCCAGAACTGGACACAAGTCTCCAGGTCTGATAGGGCATAACTGGCTCAACTGTGCTGATGTGAGAGACAGATGCCATGTCTTAGAAGGTGTTATAAACCATCAAAGACCCCCAAAGTGCTCCTAGACTAATTTCTGAGGCCTTCCACCAGAAGACTGAAAGCTCCCCCCCAGGGGAGGTACCTGGGGGTTCCCACACAGCCTGAGCATATTTTAACCCATTGAACTTTGTGTTTTGAGGGGTTTTTCCCCACCCCTAATGGATCAAGACAGTGATCACTACTGTGACCAATGGATATCGAAATTGCATCAAGTCTCATTGCAGATCCATGGGTAGTGATATGTTCCCTTACTCTTATCCTTTCTTTCTTTTCTCTTATACATTTTCTTAAATGATATTTTCATGCTTTTATATTGCTATATTACTATAGATAATAACAACTCAAATGGCTACATACCTGCTTTCCATTGCAACCAAATTGTTCTAAAATAAACCCTATATGTATATATTTACAAACATGAATCAGTGTCATTTCACTCTAATCCACCCCAAGGGATTAACAAGAAGCTAGGTTACCCTTGCCTTCTAGGGTGGGTCATAATACTTCTGTACAAGTCTCGAATATCCGGTAACATCATACACTGCACTCAAATAGAAAACTAGCTATAATTGCAAGAGTTCACTTCCATATGGCTACCTAGAAGACTGCATCTTAATCTAAACGCACAGGCATTGCGATTGGCTCTGGACCCTATTTACTACAATAAATTCCCTTTACCTCCAAAGACTCACCACACTTAGCAATTCAAAGTTAACAATTCAGTCCTAACTACCCAAGAATATCGCATCTGTGACCTGCCTCATTAGAGTAGGCACACGGTAAGTAAGATGAAACTCAGATGCTCAAAGGTTCTTTATCTTCTTAACAGGAAACAAAATCTTGAAACAAGATAAGAGACCATCACATTTGCACACTTCTCTGTCCAAACAATTCTCAATGTCCCTATCTCTCCATCAGCATCCCCACATTTCAGTCAGCCAACTTCAAAATAAAAGCATAATTATGCCTCTTCTCCAGCAGTGAATCAAGAATGCTATTTTTTACACATGAAAAACAAGCCAATATTAGGTTGTTCATGTCAAGCTGAATAGACACACAGTGGTTAAGGTGGCCTACAGAATGCCCACACACACATACAAAATAAAGAGGACTAGTATCACCAAATTTCACATTTATTTCAGGCTTGTAAATAAATGGATTAATAGTTACTTAAATAAGTAACAGAGTTTTGCATTGCATGCAGGCTTATAACCCTAGACCCAATACCACTACTAGCACAAAGGTATTGGAATATTCAGAAAAAATTTCTGTATTGGTATTTGCATAATCTAATGCTTCTCTCATTAAATCATGTCATTACATTAGATAAACTCCCTTTTAGACATTGACTCCTGTGTTTTCTGTTCAAAATATTAAATTCATTCTTATGAAAGGACTGCTTTAACACTGATTGCTTTGCCTCTTCACTTTCAGACTTGGCAAATATACAAACCATTTATAGGATAGAGTCTTTTACTAATACGTAAATGGAATGGTATCTTGTACTTTTGACAGCAAAAGAAAAAGCTTTCAATCTATCAGTCTTTCCATCTTCTCAAGAATACATTTAGGATTAACTATGAAAACAGTTTTGAACCTGAACTGTATTCCAATTATATGGTTTTAAGGAAATTTCAAAGTCTACAGACTACCTCAGCTCCACAATAAAGGAATAACATTTTTTAAAAATTAATCTACACTTCAAAAATGCATTATATATAGATGTCAGTTTATTATTCACTCAAATATTGTTTATTTATTTACAAAAATAAAAAATCCTCTATGTTATTTAAAAACTCCTTCATAACCCATGACAACCCAGTTTCAAATTTCACAACTGTCAAGTAAAACATAAACATACTGTGAGCACCTAATCAAAAAAAAAAAAAAAAGAAAAAGCTTAGCTAAGTTTAATCCCCTCCTTTAACTATTATACATTGGAGTAAATGAAAATTCATTTATTTTATATCCATTTCCAGAAAATAATCATTTGGGAGTCGTTCCATGACCCACATAATACTGTATATTCCTGAGACTATGTCAGGTATGCAGTTCTGATTAGATAGATAACAGTAGCACACATCTGCATTCATTTGCCAATAATCCCTCATATTTCATATATTTGCTTTATCCTACTATTTTCCCATTAACTAAGACTTAGGAGTCAAGGAAGGCCTTTATTATAAATTTATGAAACTAATAACAAAGATTCAAATATGAACTTCAAGGTGCTACTCCAACACAAGCCAAAAATGTGATGATGTTCATGATTGTATCTGGGTTTTGTCAAATTAAGTAATTTGTTTTCAGAAAAAGTGAGATAATAGATGCTACCAATTACTTTTCAACAGTCTGACACACAATTTGGATGCACAAAGATGCAAAAATTTAAGGCAACATACCTATACAAAATATATATCGTTACATGTCCCCAAGTTCCCCTATAAGACCTGCTCCTGATCTTAGATACCCAAGTAGGAAATCTTTTTAAAAGGAGCATGGCTCCAAAAGTACTTTCTCTACTTTCCGATACATTATTTATAACATTGCTTCAGTGGAATGGGACAGTCCCCTGTATTTTCTGGTGTTTCTATTCTTCCCTTATCTATCCCATAGGTTAGGTTGGTGTAATTTTAACACGTTAAAAAGGATTCCATCCTCCCACACTGACATAGGGGGAAGCAAAGACTTGGGGAGCAAGCCCCATCTTCACGGAAGGAAAAGTGTCTGGGGGCAGCAGGCAGTAACTTGTTGGCGTTGTTGAGTCTAAGTGGTCATTTTAATTTAAGGGCCTTGGGATCTGATGCTGCCTCCTCCGTGGTGTCTGGCTCCACCTCCCCACCCTCACACCACTGGGGATACAGGGAGGTCCTTACCAGGATAAGAAAACAGACCTGCGGGAGAGGCAGATAAGCAGATGAGTCCTAAGCACAACTATCGCGGAGTAGCGGATTGCAGAAGCAGGCTCCACACGGGGCGGAGGATGGGAGCAGTCCCGAGCACTGACCCCGAGGGGGCGGGGAGATCCCGATCAGGGACACGAAACCGGAGGCGAAGAGGGAAGTGATTCCGGGCAAGGACGGAGGGAGGGACGGAGGGAAGGGTCGCGGTGGTTACCTATACTGGGCAGCAGCCCCGCTATGGGTGAATCCAAAGTAGTTGCCGGTGGCCATTTTGGCATCTTCTCCCAGGCGGCTGGGCACTGTGGCGAAGATAACCAAGAGGCGGCAGCGGTCGGGGCCATGACAGGAGGCCCGGCAGGAGGAGGCGGGGAGAGAAAGGGACAGACAGACAAGAGACAGAAGTGCGCGCGAGCGCAGGTCAGACACGGCGCCTCAGGACCACCGTTCCTCCGCCCCACGCGCGGGCCGCATCTCCTTCCCCTCGCCGCTGCCCCCCTCCCCCCACGCTCACGGACACAGAAACATCGAGCGCCATTACTTACCATAGGTGAAAGAAACTACCGGACATATAGGAATCATGAGTGCAAGCTAGCAGGGACAACGGCGGTTGAACTCTGAACTCTCACCCCCCTCCTCACCGCCGCGTTCGCTCACTCCCTTCCCCCCTCCACACACACCTACGGCGACAACGGCAGTGCGGCCGGACCAAGGCCGTGCGCACGCGCGAGATGTGTGAAGGGCTGCTAGAAGTTGTAGTTCAGCCAATGACTACGCCCCCGCCCGCAGAAGAGCACCCTCGATGTCGCGTAGGCTGCCACCACGCTTAAGGCGTGAATCCTCCTGCGCTTGATGTTGCAAAGGCTCTTGGGAGTTGTAGTTCCCCTCGCTGAGGCCCGGGCGCGAGGAAGAGCTGTTCTTAGAGTAACGCTGCACGTACCACTCCTCCTGCCTGTCCCCTTTCTCCCTCCTTCCATCATCCCGTGTCACACCTACAGTCACACCACACTTGTACCCGTGGACTCACATTGCAAAGATAGGGTCAGTTTCTCATTCTTTCCTGCAAACCTACAACACACCACAGTAGTGATCTGGAACGTGTGTACTAATGTCTTTCCAAACAATTCCATGGGTGAGGGTATGGGTGGTAACGTTTTTGAAATGGGTCTTAATAACTCTACCAACTTGTGAAAAACGCCAATCACTTGTTTTTAAAATTTTAAAAGTTTAATAGTAATAAAATGGTTATAAAAATAGTAATATAATTAGAGTAATAATAATTTGCACAATTTGGATTAGGACAATATGAGACAATAGAAACAAAGAGTTACAGATGGTCCGGGTACCTTTTTCTGGGCAACATAAGCCTGAAAAGGGACCCACATTAACAGAGGATTAACCCTTAAAAACAATCGCCTGTTTAATATTTATAAACCTCATACATTATGCATAAATTCCATTCAAACACAGGATTCTGTCTAGTCATCATCAACTTCTTTCTCTTAATCCTAGCAGCGTCTTCAGGGCTGAGCGAGGCAGGAAGAAGTTTGTTTCTTCTGATAAGGGAGCAATAAATTCTTTTTCTCTGAAAGATTTAGGTGTCCTGTGGCTACTATCTCGCTGCGAGTCCTTTCTTTTAAAAAAAGTATCTTACATAGCATAGTTTCTATTTTAACATTTTTTTATAACCTAAAACTATATTTAACACACTACATATAAATACATTAATAAATTTTAATATTTGCGAAAAGCCAATAATAAAATACGCATTTTTCACACAAATTCAAGCTGCAGGTTTGTTACAGAACCCCTACAGTTTGACTCTTGAAACAGACAAATGGATCTGTGCAAGTCTGCATTTCTGAACTTTGGATGAAAATGAAAGGATCAAGGGGGAGGGGGGGGTATGTGATAGGCAATTTGGAAAGGCTGTACCTTCCTAGTACCTCAGCCAATGGGGAAAGGAAGAGGGCAACATGTGGCCCTAAACTTTTGTTTTTCTATCACATGGACATCACCCAGATCTTGTCCATAATCTGTTACCTATTTCACAGATTAATTCTCCTTTCAACAGTTTCCCCCCACTTCTGCCTAGGCTCCTTTTTAAAGAAATATAACTGATTTGGTAACAGGTGGATGCACCCAAAGGACCTGTGACCTCATGGAGACTCCATGCCGGAGGAGTTCATGAAGAATTGCAGCCTGTGGAAAGGACCCACAGCGAAGAAGTTTGTGGAGAGCTGTCTCCTGTGAGTGGGACCCCATACTAAAGAAGGGAAAGAACATGAGGAGGAAGCAGCAGAGAGGTGTGATAGTTACTGACTGCAACTCCCATTCCCCATCCCCCCGCCCTCCTGGGGAAGGGGGCAGGGGAGAGGTATCAGGAGTGAAGTTTAGCCTGGGAAGAAGGGAGGGGTGGGGCATATGATGTTTTAAGATTTGTTGTTATTTCTGATTATCCCACTCTGTTGTTAATTGATAATAGCCATTGGTAATAAATTAAATTAATATCCTGAAGTTGAGTCCGTTGAGCCCGTGATGGTAATTACTGAGTGATCTCTCCTTGTCCAAAAATATAATGAAAGACTCGTGAGTCTTTCATTATATTTTCTCTCTCCTGTCCAGATGAGGAGGGAAGTGATAGAGCAGCTATGGTGAGAACCGGGCATCCAGCCAAGGTCAAACTCAGCACACAGCTGAGTGTAAAGTATAGCAGCTTAAGATGCCAAACATCCTTGCCAATATTAGCTTTGCATAGGAACTAAATAGTACTGTACCTCTTGTCCTTCCTTATCCTAATCAAGTACAATAGAAAAAGGATTCTGCATGGGAAAATGAATAAGTTTCCAACTACTGTGGTTCACTCTCAGTCAATATGCTTTTCTGTTAAAAAGGCAGCAATTGTGTGAAGAAAATGCTTAGAAAAACAAAAGCCCAAATCCTGAAGCTATTGTCAGGAAAATTAATCCACCAACACCAGAGGTTTATGTACAAAAAGGAGACAAAGGAGTCTTGTAACTTTATTCAAATAAAGGGAGAGGCCATGGGGCATTTCCCTTAGGGTCTCCCAAGTTTTTGGAGGACGCAGCCTCCTTTTTATCTTAATTTCCCAACTACATTTTCCTTTCTCTTTCCTCATTGCCTGAGGTACTTGAGAGGTACAGACTGAGATCCCTAAGACTCCCTTCTAATGTATACTCTCCCCCTAATTTTTTCTTTTCCTTGTGTCACTCAGTGGAATTCCTATGGAATTTGGTTCTTCCCATTGTTTCTTTCATCTCTCAGTATCCAGTTTTATTTATCAGCAGACCTACAGTTTGTAAAGACAAACCTCTCTCATTCCACTCATCAATCAGTGGAATCCTTCCCATTGTTTCTTTTCTCTCTCACTGCTAGTTTTATCTACCAGCAGACCCACAGTTAGTTTGTAAAAACAAGTCCCTCACTCCTTTCACAATATTCAAGAGTACTTCAGGAGAGGGCTCTACACAAGTCTTCTATAGAAGAACTTACTCTGCCACAAGAACCACAGTCAATTTGGCATACATAAATGAGATCTCTATACTGTCCTCACCTTGTTTTTATGAAAAATTGATCACAACTGGACCACCGAACCATAGCATTTGGACGATGTGAAAAGTGCATATTATATGGCTCTATGAAGATATTTACTGTATGTATTATGTTGTATTGATTAGTAGTGCTGTATTCACATTTTAATAGTATGGTAAATGTAGTGTTGTAGTTAAAATGTAGTTTTTATAATTAAACTAGAAACTATGTATGTGGGATATTTTTTAAGAGAGGAATGAGGTACTTGCACCTAGATAGCAGCCACAGGACACCTAAATCTTTCAGAGAAAAAGAATTTATTGCTCCCTTATCAGAAGAAACTAAATTCTTCCTGCCTCGCTCAGCCCTGAGACGCCGTCAGGATTTCGAGGAAGAAGTTGACACTGACCAGACAGAATCCTGTGTTTGAATGGAATTTATGCATCATGTATGAGATGTATGAATATGCAACAGGCTTTTGCTTTTAAGGGTCAATCCTCTGTTAACCTGAGTCCTTTTCTGGCCTTATTTTGCCCAGAAAAAGGTACCTGGACCATCTGTAACTCTTTGTTTTTATTGTCTCGTATTGTCCTAACCCTAATTGTCCAAATTTTTGTTACTCTAATATTATTACTGTCTTTATAACCATTTTATTACTATTAAACTTTTAAAAATTTAAAAACAAGTGATTGGCGTTTTTTACAGATGAAAAAGAAATAGAAGTTTTCTTTGTACTAGTGTCTTTCAACTTCTCAGTTATAAGCCTTCCAATATATTGATAAATATACATATGAAATGCACATTTCATTAAAATATAAGCATTTATATACACACACTTTTTAACACAGTACCATTGAAGTTATATTTTTTAAAGTGTTAAAGACTGCAATTACCTATTCCTTTGCAGATTTCTTTTTCAGAATAAAGATTTCTGTCTTAAGTTTCATAACTTTTTTCATCCAAGTAATTTCCAGTCATTCTAATTCAGATATTCCATCCTGCATCTTGTGATTTCAGCCCTGCATATACATCTCTGCATACACCTCCTGTTGGGCAGCCTGATTCAGCTGCGATTTCAGCCGAAGTTTCAGATTAGTTTTCCAGTTGAATTTTGCATACCAAATATTCAGTGCACATATCACTTTAAAAGGATTACAACATAATTCATGAGAAGTCACACTTACCAAGTGTAACAAAAAAAATTAGGGTTTCTCATTTTCTTGGCAAAAAAATCCACAGTAGTATTATGCAAGTCTTTCTCTCAGTTTCCTAATAAGAACCTGATGTTTCCTGGTGACTGTGAACCGTTACATAACATCTATTTAACATATAACTACATTACTACTAGTTCACATGTGAAAAACACGTTCACTCTCCTGTGAAAATTTTAAAAGTTTAATAAAGGATAATAGGAGACAAAGACCATAGAGCAAAGGTTATTATGGCCGGGTGTATCTTGGCACTCAGTCAAGACCACACCATTACCTTTGGAAATATCCTTTAAATACCTTTTCCCTTACATCAGTCTGTTGCATATTCATAGACCCTTATGCAGAGTAAACTGGTTCCCCAAACTAGTTTACATGTTCCAAGAACTGTTTAGCATGGCTCCTCCTTGGGTCTGCCTTTATAGAGCATGTGTATTCCTTGGCTGTGATTTTAGCCCTTTTTTATCATCACCTTCAGCTTTAGGCCCCAGCCCACACTGTCTTCAGATGATGGGTGCTGATAGTTGGCATATCTGTAGCAGGTGTCCTCTTCATATGTTCATTGGATGTTATTCCATCCAAGCAGGCATTTTAACACAAGTATACTTATATCAGCTATTTCACTCTAGAACCTTCCTGTTCTTAGAAGGCTGTAATCTGATCTTAAGACTCCTCCCATGGCCCTGAGTCTGCTGGCTCTCTGAGTTTTGCTCAGGCTCCCGGGCCTCTGCCTCCTGCCCCCCTCTGGCATGGGGCAGCGGCGGGGGGGGGAAGGAAGGGGGGTAAATAAATGGACTCTCGTGCTAAACAACAGAGACTTGT